AAGTCCAGGGAAATACAAACAGCAAAAATAATAAACAGAAAAATCAAGAGATAAAATAAATAAGGAAAAATTGACTCAAGAGAAAAATAAAAATCACACAAACACACAAAGAAATCTCATAAAAAAAACATATAGAAAGTATCAATACATCGAATGTATCTGAACAAAACTCATAATCAGTACATCATAGAGCACTAAACCAACAGTCAGGTTGGACAACACATGGTCGTCTAGCGTGTCCATATTGAATGGATGAAACTGATGCATTTTTGTTGCAGCACAGACGAAAAATGAGTTGGTTTGATAGCCATCGGCGTTTTCTACCAAGAAATCACGTGTTACGACGCAACAAGAAGAATTTTCGAAGAAATATAATTGTTGTTGATTTTGCGCTACTTGAACATACCGGGGATGAAATTTTACTTGAACGAATCAAAGAATGTGTTCGGTCACATGGATTATCTACTACATCAGTGGTTGGTGGTAACGGTCATTTACCGATTGAAGGATATGGTGATTATCACAACTGGCATAAGAAGAGTATATTTTGGGAATTGTCGTATTGGAGACATCATAAATTACGACACAATCTTGATGTTATGCATATCGAAAAGAATTTTTTCGATAACATCATTAATACAGTGTTGAACGTTGCTCAGAAAACAAAAGACAATATCAACTCAAGGAAGGATATAGGGTTGATTTGTTCGAGGAAGGATTTGGAACTTACACCTGATGAAAAGGCGCCGGTACCAATTTTCCGTGTGTTTGGAGAAGCGAAGATGAACTTTTTTAGATGGTTACAGGAAGATGTGAAATTTCCTGATGGTTACTCGTCAAATATTTCGCGATGTGTTGACCTCGGAGGAAAAAAGTTAACAGGTATGAAGAGTCATGATTGTCACGTCTTCATGCAACGATTGTTACCTATTGCATTTGCAGAGATACTTCCAGAACATGTCAACCAAGCTATATCAGGTATGTTTTGTTTCGTAGTAGCGGTTTTAATAGTACTTAAGATCTTTACACGTGTGCTTTAGTTATATGTTGATATTGTATTTATACCCTCATGTTTTTGAACCGTAGAAATTAGTAACTTTTTCCGGGAAATCTGTAGTCGGACATTGAAAAATGGAGACGTCCACTTGATGAAGCAAAATATTGTTCTAATTTTGTGCAATTTAGAGAAGATATTCCCACCATCTTTTTTTGATGTGATGGAACATCTGCCAATTCATCTGCCACCAGAAGCGGAACTCGGCGGTCCGGTTCAGTTTAGGTACGAATATACATTAATATTGTCTATATGATTTGAATTATGTATATGAATGGATACGTAGATTTATTGTGCAATTGTTGTAGATGGATGTACCCGTTTGAGCGGTTTATGTACCACCTGAAGCAAAAAGCGAAACAAAAGGCGTTTGTTGAAGGAAGCATTGCAAAACAATATATAAACGAAGAAATATCATTCTTCACCTCGTATTATTTTGAAGATCAAGTGCAAAAAAAGATTAAACAACCAAACAGATCATTTCACACCGTAGATGGACCGGAGTACGGAAAATGTTGTCATGGATATCCCGCAATGTTTCTATAGAAAAGGACGATGTGGTGGTCGAGAATTCGATGCACATTTATCGGACAAAGATTACCATGTGGTCCACACGTATGTTTTGTTGAACTGTGAAGAAGTTCTACCGTTCGAAAGGTGCGTATATACGTATATAATTTTAAATTGAATGGTCAGTTAAACTTATATAATTTGTATTGTGGTTTTTTGTAGGATTTTTGATGATCAGGTATTCAATACGTACGGTGATGTGAATGATGATCAATTAAGCCAGATTAAAGAGAACGGATTTGCAACCTGGTTAAAAGAATTTGTACGTAAATCGAATAAGTAAATTAAATAACATCGCATAGGGTTTAACGCTAATCACATGCGAAATTGTTGGTCGATTGTTTTTTACAGATTGAATCATCGCAAGAAGATCATCCATTGTGGTTACACGAGTTAGTTCAAGGTCCCATTCGGCTGGTCAAATGTTGACCAATGTTCTCTAAGAGGATATTTATTTCATACATATGAACATGGACAACATCGTTCGACGACAAATTATGATATATGTGTGAAAGGCTCGAGTTACTATGCTTCGGATGATGAACCAGATTTCCATGGCATTCTTCAGCAAATTTTCCAAGTACAGTATCCGGGTCATATTGGACTTAAAGTGATGATTTTCAGATGTGACTGGTTTGATCCGACGCCGGGACGCGGAATACGGATCAACAAATCAAGGATCACTGATATTTGTTATTCCCGTCGATACAGAAAATACGACCCTTTTATACTGGCATCCCAAGCAGATCAGGTATGTTTTATCCCTTATCCAAGAGATAAAACGCGAAGTTTTATACTGGCATCCCAAGCAGATCAGGTATGTTTTATCCCTTACCCAAGAGATAAAACGCGAAGAAGTGACATCGATTGGAAGGCCGTTATCAAGATTAATCCAAGAGGGACCATTACATATGACGGATCGGTGGAACAAAGTCCGCTTCAGGACGAACACACAGTTATAGCTGTCGCGGAAACAATTGATGTGGAGAGGCTAGTAGTGGAACAAGGGATATTTGAAGAACTAGAAATTAGAAACCTCGATGAGGAAGACGATAGCAGCGAAGACACCAACCCCGAAACAACGGAAACATCATCGTATGGTTCATTTGATTAACCTGTTAATTATGTAATGTTTGTGTATTTATTTTTTTTAATTTATTTTTTTTAATTATTTTTATATTTTGCGACGGATATTATCCGTCCGTATCCGTCGCTAATTTTTCGTCCTTTCTTTCAGAAATTTTGGCAAATTTTTTGAAAAATTTAAAACCCATGTGCGACGGACAGAGTTCCGTCGTTAAATAAGATAATCCGTCGCTAATGGCCACGTGTTCAAACATTAGCGACGGATGCCGACGGTTAAGTTCCGTCGCAACTTGTAATACATATCGGGATTCCTCTTCTTTCTTCTCCTCCTCGACGCGATAACGGTGACCTTCTCTCCCTACGATTTCCGGTCATTGCTGCGATTTCCGGCCACCCACCGTCCAAGGCAGCCTGTCCGACACCGTGCGAGGTAAGTCTTTCCTCTCTCCTTCTCTCCCTTGGTGATGATTCGCTGAAGCTTTTCCTTTAGGGTTTGAATGAGATTTGTGCGAAATCACACAATCCATGAAATCCGGCTAAAGGTTACGGTTTTGGGTAGAAATTAGATCGATAGTTAAGGATTTTTGTGTGTCATCTCTCGAATTTATGGGATTGAGTTTTAAATTCGCAACTTTCACTCCGAAAATCTTAAGATCCGAAAATTTTCGGCTTTTGTGGATGATTTTCGGCGAATTATGGAGTGATTTTGTCTGGTTTTGGATTGTTTTTGGTGTTTCGAAATCTGTTTCATCGTTAGGATAGAGATTTGATGGTTTTTTTAGGGTTTCAGATTTAGGGTTTCATTTGGGGTTTAGGGTTTCGTTTTTAGGGTTTCAGATTTAGGGTTTCATTTGGGGTTTAGGGTTTAATTTGGGGTTTAGGGTTTCTTTTTTAGGGTTTCAGATTTAGGGTTTCGTTTGGGGTTTAGAGTTTCTGATTTAGGGTTTCGTTTAGGGTTTCATTTTTAGGGTTTCAGATATAGGGTTTTGTTTGGGGTTTAGGGTTTCGTTTGGGGTTTAGAGTTTCGTTTTTAGGGTTTCAGATTTAGGGTTTTGTTTGGGATTTAGGGTTTCGTTTGGAGTTTAGGGTTCTCAATTTAGGGTTTAGGGTTTCAACTCGGGATTAGGGTTTCAATTCTAAATTCAGGGTTTATGATTTCAATTCTCTTTTATAGGGTTTCAATTTTCAAGTTAGAGGTTACGATTTACGGTTTAAAGGGTTTAGGGTTTCAATATGTAGATGAGTCAGTCACGTTCCGGGAGTAGATCGGGTAGCGGAGTCCGATCTCGCGGACGAGGATCCGACGTTTCTAGTCCTTCTACCCCTACTTCTCAGCAGCCCCCAGTACCTAGACCTCGTTTGGATCAACCTTTCATGGGTCAATCCACGCAGCAACCTTCACATGAAGGTTGTTCGCGTGATTCATCAGTATCACTCCGAGAAATACTCGCATCCGAGGATCGTTGTGCGACGAGACCGCACCTTAGCCCAGACCGAACAAACGGTGCTTTATGGTAAGGAACATTGTAACAATTCATTTCCATTTTTTATATTAACGTTTATAGTTATATAACTAAGTATATTTATATACTTGCATAGGTTCGGTCGTCATCCCCAGATACGGCAGACAATCGTGAGCACCTTCCAGAGTGATTTTCAGGGTCCTTGGCTCAGTATCACTCGTGTCCCTCCAACGACTCTGGAGCGTTGGTTTTGTGCATTTGCGGTAAGTTTTCAAATTCAAACTATTCTTTTAATTTCATTTATTGTTTTATTAACATCAATTTTTTATTGCAGCAAGCTTTTTATTGGGAGGAGTGCTACCACGACAAGGTTTATGCCGCTTGGAAGGAAGTGCTGGCCAACCGACACCGGGATGCGATCTATCGGTCGGGTCAAAGTCGAAACAAACCGTTGTGGATGAGCGAGGGGGTTTGGAACCTCCTCCTGGCTCACTGGGACTCAGATGATGCAGCAGAGAAGAGTCGGACCGCCTCAGCCAACCGACGGTCTCGATCTGTGGGGGACCGCGCACCAGCAACTCATACCGCGGGTAGAAGATCTTTCGCCAGAGTCGCAATGGATATAGTAAGTAACTTTTATATTTATAATTATATTTATTTAAAATTATTTGTAATTTTAATTATTTTGTTTTTAGGCTCAAAAAGAAGGTGTAGAACCATTGGTTCTACGAATTCTTTAGGATACACACCATCGATCGGACGGTACATATGTGGATGAGCGGGTCCAGCAGATCGAGGAGTTGGTGCAGTCCAAGATCGACGATAGAGTCTCCCAGATGGACGAGAGTACTGCTTCTACACAACTCTCGACAACCGAAGTTAACAGCCTATATCTTGAGGTAAATATTTATAAAATTAATAGTTTTGAATTTTAAAAATATATGATTATATGCTAATTTTTGGTTTATTGTATAGGTTGTCCATTCGGATGCCAAGGGCCGTATCTATGGTGTCGGTACCTTGGCATCCCAACTGGGCGGGGGAGAAACTTCTGCTCCGGCGATTACTCACCATGTCGCGCTAACGCATGAAGCGGAAGAGTTGAAACGCTCCCAAGAGCGGACGGCTGCAGAACTGGCAGAGGCCCGGGCGAAGATCGAGGAGTTCGAGCAACATCGGGAGAAGCTACATAAGCTCTCCGAGACCGAAGCGAGGATCGTACGCTTCGAGAAGATGATGCAGCGCCTCACACCGTTCATGCCGTCTATATTCGACCAGTACGGCTCTCCAACGATATCTCGGCAGCCAGATGATCCCGAGGACGCATCCGCCAATCTCGGCGATGATACACCGGTTGATCCATAGACCATTTTTTTTAATTGTATTATAACTATTTCTAAATTATTGTATTATACTTTTTTCTGAATTATGAATCTTGTTTTTTTTTTAATTAATTCGTTTTGTTTCTAATTTATGAATTTATTTTTAAAATTTATTTTTATAATATTTAAATTAATTATAAATTTATTTGATTTTTTAATTACTTTTACAACGTTTGCGACAGATTTAATCGGTCGTAATCCGTCGCAGTTCAGTGCGATGGACCGTAATCCGTCGTTACGTTCGGAAATCAAGAAAGCGACGCATACACGACGGATAGATTCCGTCGGTATAGTTTGCTATGGATCAGTCCGTCGCAATGTGCGACAAACAGAAAAGCGACGGTCTACGACGAACTTCTTATCCGTCGGTAAAATAACGATGGATAACGAGTACTGTTTTCTGTCGTATTTTTGCGACGGTTAACCGACCGAAACAAATTTGCGCAGCTCCGTACCGACGGATTTGTCCCCGTCGTTATCCGTCGCAATGAAGTTGTTGCGACGAATATTTGTTCGCTATATGCATTGTATTTTTGTAGTGGAATCATGTGCTGGATTGTAGATAGTCAAGATGGGATTTGTACCGCTCGTAAAAGAGAGAGATATCGATGGGCCCCTCATGTGAGCGAGACTGTAGAAATGTGTGGCCACACTATAGACGAACGTCGTCTATTTCAGACAGACGAACTCAGTGAACGAGAAAGCAGTCGAATCAGATAAGGTGGCATGTTCGTGCCTTATGTTCGACATATGATATCGTGATACATAAGGATCATCAACCGGAATCATCACTGGCGTTCGTAAGATCACAACAAACTCTATTCGAGATAGGTAGTCATAGTGTCTTCTAGAGACCGCCTATGACTTGTATATCCGGAATAGAGATTTCAAGTTATACTGCTATATCGAATGAGCCTACAGGGTCACACACGCAAGGAAGGACGAAACACACGAGAAAACGACGGAAAAACCGAGACGAAAGGGGCTGGAACGGACGGACCGAAAGGGTCAGACCCGACGGTCTGCTAGGTCCAGACCCGACGGTCCACGATTAGTCGCAGACCGTCAGTTCTAAGTGTTGGAACAGACGGTCTGCGTTGATAGCAGACCGTCTATTCTGGCTTGTCGGGAACGGATGGTCCATGTGAGCAGACCGTCCGTTCTGGCTTGCTGGAACGGACAGTCCACGCGTATTTCTGGACCGTCCGTTCCAGCTTTTGGGTTTTCGAAAATTAACCCGAATTAGGGTTAAATCACCTTATAAGAAGGAGATTAAAAACCCTAATCGTAAAAGAGACTTTTTGAACCGTCTGGTACAGAACTTAGAGAGCGTTTGGTGAGATCCAAAGAGTTCTAAGAGTTCCAAGTCTCGTTTTCTCGAAGCGCGAAACCGAATAGTTGATTCGGATCCTAGCAAACAAGTTCCAACCGTTGGAATCCATCCCGAGGTGTGGATACGTGTAGAGGGCGAGGTATTTTTTCTCCCTTTCATGATCAGACGAATTCTTCAATTGATACAGGCCCCGGATCGATTGAGATAAGTGTTCTAACGTCTCTACGATTCATAGAAATCGGCGAAAACGACGCCATATGAGATATGGACTGGGAAGCGTCCCACGTTGTCGTTTGTCAGAATTTGGGGTTGCGACGCTTATGTGAAGCGTCAGATGACTGACAAGTTATCCTCCAAATCTGATAAGTGTTTTATTTGTAGGCTACCCTAAGGAAACTAAGGGTTACCACTTCTATATTCCGGCAGAGAATAAAGTGTTCATTACCAGGAATGCGACTTTTATGGAGCGAGAGTTCGTCTCCAAAAGAGTCAATGGGAGTAGGATCGAACTTGAGGAAGTTCGAGAGCAGCAAGTAGACGCTGAGCCGAGTGAACAAGTTGAAGACGTTCAACCTGATTCACTGCCGGTTGTGACTCAACCTTCGACGAGTGAACCTCGGAGATCAGGCAAGATTCGCCAAGAGCCTGTGAGATACGGATTTCTCGTGACAAGGAATGAGGAGCTCATGTTATTGGAACATGATGAGCCTACCACATACCCAGAGGTTATGGCAAATCCGGATTCCGATAAATGGCGCGAGGCTATGAAGTCCATGTTGGGTTACGCTACGGATTTCTAGTATGCGATCTCATCGTTCTAGGGTTTGGTTACTATGTTTCATGCAGCGGAATGAAAATCTAAACCTAGTCAAACGTCACACGCAACCAAACTCATCTGTAAAACCCCGTATAATCGTGTATATCACCGTGGGAATCTAATACTTACTTCTTTCGTGAAGAAACGGAAGGAAGAGTCGATCCGGGGCCTGTTTAATCACCGAGGACTGAAATTACAGTCCCTCTACACGTATCCACACCGACGGGAAGGATTCCAAACGCTTTTGGAACCGATCTGCTAGGATCTGTGAAGTATATCAAGTAGGATCTAATCCCGGGAGCTAGAACTATTAAAGAAACGATTTCTTCTGAGTTTTTTGCTCTGTCTTCGGGTTCTAAAGTGAGTTCTTCACTTAGGACGACGTCCAACCCCTTCTTATAAGTTAGAAACCCTAATCCTTGTGAAAGGAGACTTTTTTCGAGTATTGACTCGGTCCGAGTCAGAACTCTGACTCAGTCGAGTCAGAACTCTGACTCAGTCGAGTCAGAACGAATCAGCCCAAGCCCATTGTTAACTCTTGACTCGGCCCATTGAGTATTGACTCTGTCCGAGTCAAGTACTGACTCGGTTCGAGTCAAAAGACTGAAATCGTCCCGACACTTTGATTTGGCCCGAAAACCGTTTGTTCGACCAAATCTAAGTCTTCCTTTCCAATACTTCACATATAAGTCCATCCCTAATGGTGTGTGACCTTGTAGGCCCATTCGCAGTGGCAGCAGCCTCGAGAACCATTCCCGATCTACAAGTCATGGTTAACCTCTAGCAAGACGCCATGACCACCCACGTTGAATTGAGATAGAGGTGATCTAACCGAGGCTATAACAGCTCGAGTTCTGATCCTTTGTCTCACGATATCATATGTTGAACAAGGATATGGTATGAGCCACCCTTCAAGTTCAACCACTTTCTCGTCTTGGCAAATCGACTAATAAAATAGATGCAACTTCATCTATAGCGTGGCCACGCATTTTCATAGTCCGACTTCCACGAGAGGGTCCATCGATATCTCTCCTATTGAGGAGGTGACAAATCCCGTATTGCATGTCTACTATCTCCATATGATTCGTGAACGTATCTGATCAACGCCGTTATAATCATCCGGTTAAAGACGACGTTTGATGCAGTCAAGACACGCCACTCCTCATATCAGATACTCTAGACATCCCAGGTCTAAGGATCCAAGAACGAACCGCTATATGAGATTCAAGTCATGACTCTTTCCATGTGACAATCTCATGCGGGTCAACCAGTCACTCGTTCACAACGAGTACCCATGATTGTGGTATGCATCCAATGCATCGATCACACCTCATGCTAGTCTTAATTTATCATTGTTTCCACAATGATAACTGACCAGGGTGTTTAGAATCATTCTATAATGATTCAAGGATACCGAAATATAACAAACATGCCAATAATATAAAGGGAATGTAATGCATTCATAAATTAATGAATCAATACAAAGTTAAAATGTCATATCACGGATAATCCTAGAGCATTACAACCAACAATCTCCCACTATGCTCTGTGATCTATCCTACAAGCATCTAATCCCCATACCCTTAACATGTTCATCATGTTTTGACGAAGGGAGAGGCTTCGTCAATGGGTCGGCAATATTATCATCCGTCGGCACTCTGCTTATCTTTACGTCTCCTGTGTCGATGATTTCTCTGATTAAGTGAAATCGCCTGAGTATGTGTTTGGATCTCTGGTGTGACCGGGGTTCCTTAGCTTGTGCAATCGCACCATTGTTCTCACAATACAACTCAATGGGATCTGCAATGCTAGGAACAACGCTCAGGTCTCCCACGAATTTCCTGACCCAACAGCTTCCTTAGCTGCATCTGATGCTGCTATGTACTCAGCTTCTGTAGTCGAATCTGTCACGGTTGGCTGTTTGGAATTCTTCCAACTGATAGCCCCACCGTTCAGGCAGAAAAAATAACCTAACTGCGATCTGAAGTCATCTATGTCGGTTTGGAAACTAGCATCGGTATAACCACTTATAGCGAGCTTGTCTTCCAATCCGCCATACACCAAGAACAAATCTTTAGTACGTCACACGCAACCAAACTCATCCGTAAAACCCCGTATAATCGTGTATGTCACCGTGGAAATCGAATACTTACCTCTTTCATGAAGAAACGGAAGCAGGAGTCGATCCGAGGCCTGTTTAATCATCTAGGACTGAAATTGCAGTCCCTCTACACGTATCCACACCGACGGAAAGGATTCCAAACGCTTTTGGAACCGATCTGCTAGGATCTGTGAAGTATATCAAGTAGGATCTAATCTCGGGAGCTAGAACTATTAAAGAAACGATTTCTTCTGAGTTTTTTGCTCTGTCTTCAGGTTCTAAAGTGAGTTCTTCACTTAGGATGACGTCCAACCCCTCCTTATAAGTTAGAAACCCTAATCCTTGTGAAAGGAGACTTTTTCCGAGTATTGACTCGGTCCGAGTCAGAACTCTGACTCAGTCGAGTCAGAACGAATCAGCCCAAGCCCATTGTTAACTCTTGACTCGGCCCATTGAGTATTGACTCTGTCCGAGTCAAGTACTGACTCGGTTCGAGTCAAAAGGCTGAAATCGTCCCGACACTTTGATTTGGCCCGAAAACCGTTTGTTCGACCAAATATAAGTCTTCTTTTCCAGTACTTCACATATAAGTCCATCCCTAATGGTGTGTGACCCTGTAGACCCATTCGCAGTGACCACCCACGTTGAATTGAGTTAGAGGTGATCTAACCGAGGCTATAACAGCTCGAGTTCTGATCATTTGTCTCACGATATCATATGTTGAACAAGGGT